AGTTGATATTCACACCATTTGGTGCACCCAAAATTCCCCGCTCTTCGCACTAATACGCCGTGGGCTACAACTCCGTGCAGAGATTCCCTATACACATCTCTTGTTCCCCGATTTTGTACAATTTAGATATTGAACCTTTCTAAAAAAGCTTTTTTTCTATTTACAAAAGCAGGCTCTGACATTGTCGAGTTGCGTTTAGGGTCTAGCGCCAAGCCGAACATGGTGGACTTACTTTCAAAGATGCCCCTTTAGCGAAATAAAATCCTTTTTACGTGTTAAACCGAGTCACGCCGCTCAACCTGCTGCTCCTCCTCGATGCCATAAATTTTCACTGATTGCTTCGATAAGGGGTAAGACCTCATTGCACCCTGTATGAATAAGCCCTCCTCTCATAAAGATGCCAATAGCCCGTGGGTCGCCGCCCCGCCGGTCGCCAAGTGTCTGGCAGTCTTATCAGAGAGTTAGTTACACTTTCATATTCGTATATTCGTCTCGTGCTCATATTTCGGCGCATGCCTAACTTGTACGTAGGCGACTCCGAAAGAGCTCTGTATGCAGGACCTCTGAACAATACGGTTGTCTACAACCCCACACGCAGGATGCAGGCAGACCGGAAGACCCATAGGGCAGGCCATATGGCAGATTTTGCGCATTTTAACGTGCATACATGTGCATAGGCCCTGCTCAAAGATCCAAATGGTTTTGGGCGCACTAAATCATTTTGATCCCACAGTGCGTGGCCGGGGCTACACTGAAAAAACAAAGGTGCTATCCAATGCATTTTTAGTGGCTTTCCAAAGGCGCCTCTGCCCCCTAAAGGTGGCTATTTTCGGCAATTTTAGCGGCTTTAAAGGCATTTGCGGTATAGCACCTTTAAAAGGTGTGATGTCGCACCTTTGTTTTTCCAGTGTAAACACTTTTATTGCCACACCATAGTAGAGGCCAGAACCAATCATTTCGTGCCAGGAGCAAAGCTGTAAGCACAACCGTCGAGGGCCGGGAGGGACGTTTTTCCCCAGTCAAGTCAGGCCACTAGGAGTTGTAGCTCCGAGCATTGGTCTTCCGTGATCGGCTCTCAACAAAACTTGCAATTAACAATCCCCAGCGGTACGCCTCCCATGACCTTTACTTGTACCCCTCTCCCTGTTTAGCCCGCTCTTCTGCTTGGAAAAAGCTATACGAGCAAGCTTATTATAGCCGTTCGGTATCCTGCCCTTGTCCTCTAGCAGCTCTAAGAGAAAGCCCCCTTCCATTGCGTGATAATAATTCTACTTTTTAGGGTGTTGGTCTCAAACTCTTATGGCAAATTTTGGTAATGTAGTATACCCCTATGGGTTGCAATCGCGCGGGCTAAGCTGGGGCCCACCCGACCGAACAGAGTTGCCGACGGAGCGAAACGGGGCTGGCAACAAGGTTTGGCGGTAGAGCAGGCTCTAGCTTGTTTTTGTTCTTTTTTTCGTTGAGTGGGGGGAAGGGGCGTAGGGGCGACGAGCCATTGTCATCTTGTACCGTGCATCGTACACCACCAAGCAGACGGGGTACAGTGGGCGGGCGTACCACACTTTGCGAGCATGGGCGCAGGATTATGACACGTGAAGAGCTGATGTTGGCGGGGAATAAGGAGAAAATCGACTGTTCGACGACTCCAACTCCCTTCCGGACATGCTGTGGCGATTAGACAGTACTGCATGCGCTAAGCACACTGTCGTTTTTTCAGTGTGACTGCTGACTTTGTTGCTCAGCACGTGCAGCGGTCGAAGATAAGATACGAAAATGTAATTGTCCTGTTCCTGTCATATACAAAGTTAACGCGACAAGCATGTCTCTCTTCTCCTCAAAAAAAGGTTTTTCATCCAACCCACGCTTTTGAGCTGGCTTAGGCAAGCGACGTGCCGACCTGCAAGTCAGTCAGTCTGTAGTTATGCTGCGCATTCCGCCAAAACTCCCAACTAAGAGGGATGAAAAATGACGCACGTAAAACCAGGAGATAGAGCGGGGGTGAAATTATAATTTTTGGACTGCATGCTGGTGCTGCTTTTGAAAAGACACCATGAGCGACATGTCTTTTACAATAAAGAGCAAGTACAACTTCGTTATTTCTAAACTTCGCTATGACTTGAACGGCACATCACTCACCTCATCCTGCCGCGCGAGTGAGTACTGGATGCCAGGGTGGTCCTGCGGGCTCCTGGAGGGGCTGCCGGGGCTGCCGCAGCCCGGGGCGGCGCTCTGTGACGAGGGAAAAAAGTATATTATTCGGATACGTTCGATGTAGCTGGGGTAAAGGGTGGGGGGATATACACTCGGTCTCGAGAGATTACTCCAAAAGAAAAATATAAAACACGCAACAAAACTACAGCTTTATAGATTCCTTTGATCTCAACACTTTTTTTCGCATCGGAAAAGTGTTAATGGAAAAGGTTTCAAGGTATGAACTCATTGAACTCGCATATCGTAAAACTCCGACACATCTTTCATTGACTCAGAATTATTTCCCGCCGCATATTTACGAATCTGTTCGTTTCTTTGCTACATCTTGTTTGTAAATCGAATTTCCCGTATGACCCATAATTTGACTGTTCTTATCGCATGCGATACGGCATGTTCACTGAAAACTCCGGAATGACAATAGTGACGCATGTCAATTGCTTTCGGATAGCGCGCGGCGTTATCCTAAACTAAACGTCATTACCGAATGCAACAATTACCGATGTGTATTTAATGATGGCCCGTCATCCAACGGGACTGCCGAGCGGGAGGCCGATCGTCAATTTTGCACCAGCAGTTACGCGAATGTGTATAGTGCGGTGTCTTGCGGTCTTGCGGGGTGTCGTGGACAGATGAACATGTGTGACGTGTGTTCACAACTTGACAAACCTATGTCGTGCCCCCTTACCCCCCAAATCCTCCCCCAGGGATGAGCACCCCGCCACACGGCTGGTTCTGCTGCTGCGTTTCACCCAATGACCTGAACGACCGCAAAACTTTTTTTCGCGAGCGCTGAGCAGGCTAAGCGCGGCGCGTGCTCTGCCTGGAGATTGCCCGGCAAGTGCCGCCCTGGCTTGCGGCCGCTCTGGTTCGGCGTGTGCCGTGCGCCTAACGCGCCACTCGCCCTAACGGAGCAGACGGGGCGAGCCGAGCAATCCCAACTTGGGAACAAATAACACCTATGAATTAGGCGGCGTGGGCGCGCCTGCCGTCTGCCTTGCCGCCTCTGCGAGGCTTAGAAAGATGATTACTCTGGGCACAGGCGAGGAAGACAAAGGATGGCCATCAACTTCACGACGATTGGTAGAGGGGAGCTGGCTCAAGCACGACTATACTCACATTTAAGTTTGTCAGTGAACTAGTAGTGGCGCTACAGCGCTATGCAACTCTTAAAGTAATATCATTGTTATCGCACAGTACACCCAGCTACCGAACTGGCGGGTTGGCCGCGCTCGCCCACTTCCGCAGTTATTAAACTAAAAAATATTAGCTGTATTAACCATTAGCTAAATGAGGTATAGCTAATTATTTCGCTATGTCGATCAAACTTTAGCTAGGTTCAGCTGCATATCTAAATTTTTAGCCGACCAAATTTCTTGCAGCACAAAGCTAACTTTTAGCTACATAGCTAAATAATTAGTTAACTCTAATTTAGCTATTGTTTATCTAAAGCGACTTTTTTCCCCGTGTGACTCATGCCAACACAACTCTAGGCTGAAGCTCACCTGGCCGACGGCATCCTCGTTGGGCGCGAGGGCAGCGAGGCTGCTCCCGCTGGCCACGGGCTGCAGGCCGGGACACACGCTCAGCAGGTCCATAGCGCGCTCCCCGCATGGCGTATTCAGCAGCTCATGACGGCCCATACGACCTGCAACAAGAGCAACCCGTCTCACCATGGATGCGCCAGGATGTTGTCTCGTCTCTGAAAGAAAAAGGTAAAATGTCATCAGGCGACCTGGGAAGAAAATGGAGAAAAAGCAAGGAAGAAATGGAACTAAAAACGATTTTGTAAACTCGTTCTTTTAATTAATTAAATGATCACCCATTTTTTGTGGTGGTATCACCATCGCCTAGGGAAAATGTCCATTATTTGCCGTGAAAGTGCTGAGTTCAGCAAACCCATGCTCTCATGGCGCCTGGTGGGTAGGCAACATCTCGCTTGCAGCGCATGCGTGTACTGCGGGGAGGCCTACCCCGAGTCTCGCAGGCGCCCAGGTGCCGCCATTTACCAATTGAATCTGATAAAAACTGTCTGGGCGATTCCTAGGGAAAACAAGAAATGCTCTTCTCGGTGTGGCGTCTCAGTGTCAGCGGAGTCTAACTTGTACTAAATTATACGAATTAGTACAAGAAAGGTCTAGCAAATTTCAAGTGTGTGTTACGGACAGCGGAATTTGAGGGTATTAGGATTCTTAGTAGTCCTCGAAACAACCGACCAACCCTTGCCCCGCTCCACCCGCGGGGTCATATCTGGTCGCAGCTGGTCGCGGCCGGTGGGGGCCGGTGGCTGGGTGGGGGAGGCTAGGGCCCGGCGCGCATATACGTGGCCGTCGCGAGCCCGCCCTGCAGACGCCGGCGCGCCGTGCGGCAGGTGATGTCACTTGGACGGCGGCCAGCCCTACCGACGGCCAGCGGGAGCTCACCAGGGCGCTCGCTGCGTCAGTGCCCTCACGTGGTGCGCCCCGCTTGACCACACGGCCGCCTCAATGGAAGGCTTTGACTGACACGCTCGCGACCGGGCCAATTTCTCCTCGCTGATGTCGTATGCGGCAAATCGCTGAGAGGCCACGGGTTGTGTGTGCCGAAGTCATTGTGCCGTGACGGATTCCCCCCCGCTTACCTCAAAACTGTTATTTTTAGCGGAATGCGAGGCTGCGGGGTCCATGCGCTGGGGCGCAAACCGTTGGACCCGCTATATTAGACAGGTAATGTTGCCTCGAGAGCAGAGGAGGTCCAGTCCGCGTCGTGGCCGCAACCCCCGCGCCTGGTCAGAGCTCCTCGCATGCGAGCGCTCGCCGCTGTGCGCCTTCAGAGTATGCTGTGCCGGCCGCAGCCGGTGCGCGCGGGTCTGCCTGCGCTCACGGCGCGCGGCGGCGAACA